TTTCATGGCATTAAAATAAAGTTATTTGACATTTTCTTAATTCAGTGTGTTCTTTGGATACACTTACTTTTTTCACGAACTCATGAACTCTTTTCGTGTAAAACGTAGTTATTGCGATTGTAAAAAAGTAGCCAGATTTTTCCACTTCCGAATCATTAAGAAATATTAGGATAATTTTGGTCAAATTTTAATTAATATAAGTGATTCATTTGTCGAAAATAATAGATACTTGCAATATTTTTATGTGGATAGATCGAATTGTCTTAATGTTTTATTGTTTGACAGACGAAAAGAAAGATTAGAAGATTAGATTAAGAAGAACATATTATTCTTTTAACATTTAGCTACAGACAATTGATTGAAAGTCAGTTCAATAAAATTCCGATCAATTTAATCAACGATTGATTGAACTAGCAAAATTACTTGCAGCAACATTTCTAATTGTGTAATTTGTCGCTCTTAATTCAGCTTTATTTTTCGTGGATTAAAGTTAAATAATGAAAAATTCTATTCGTATTAAACGAAATATCATTAATACTGCTTTATAAGATAATTGCTATGTTAATTAAAGTTTAGAAATTACCCTGAATTAATAGCTAGTTGAATTAATCGGAGCTTCGATAGCTTCACAGTCGTTCGTATTCTATAGTATACGTATAAAAAATAAGGTCGAAAATTGTGACTGATGAGAATCTGTTGTATTCATCAACGACGGTGCCTATTTTTTTCAAATAAAGAAATCATCGCATTAATTCTCTTATACTCAGTTGAAAAATGTTTTTACGAACAGATATTGAACGGCTATAATGAATGCATTTCAAAATATTTTATTATGATACTTTTATTATATATTTGCCTCTTTTATCGATCATTTACATTAAGCGCTGAAGCAAGTATGAATAGTATGAATGATAGTATGAATGAAGTATGAATGATAATGTCAAAATAACATTAAAATAAACAATAAATAGAATGATTGAAAAATGTATTACTTTTTAGTGACAATTTTGGAGTCATTTTGATATCATGACTTGTATTCTGCTTGGGAATATCCTATTTTTACTCTCTGTAAGAAAAACTTTTCTATTTGTTCTCATCGCTAATAAACACGTCCATATCTGACGGTTCTTCGAACGCTAACGATTACTTGTTGCCTAAGCATTAATTCGTAAATTGCTTTTGTCGGGCGAGACACAAGGAATAATTTGAACAATAATCATATTGATAAGAAAGCAAGAAAGATAATGTTGCAAGAAAGATACTCTTTCTTGCTTAGTATTCGCAAAAATATTATACCTACTTCTGAAGAAATTCAGCATATATATTTCCCTTTTGTTAAGTTATAATTCAACCTAATCTTCTAATGTAATGCGCCGTCTACAATACATGGATTAAGAAATAAGCATAAGAAATTGATCACTTACAGTAATGTAAGAAGAATAACTGATTGATCAATTTTTTACTCTTACTTCTTATTCCATGTAGACGACGTATAAAAAATTAATCGAGATAAAATTGAATATAATATATCCCAAGGAGAATAAGAAAGTCAAAACAATGTCAATCTGACATAATATTTGACTGATTATTGGCAGAATTTATGATATATTTTTTTTTCGTCATGACTCGGTCAATATGATTTAATCATTATTTTAACTTGTTTGTTCTCCTTGGAATATGCTATATAAAATAACTAAAAGACGACTTTTAAATATCTTATGTAACATGAATGTTATCTGAAATGGAGTTTATTAGTGGAGGATGAGAATTATTCGCAGATTGTCTTAGAAAACAGTTTTTTTTAAACAAAAATTGGTGGAAACGGATACGATTTATATTTATTCTTTATCCTTTTCTAATTCATAGAACTAGAAAAAGATATAAATTAAATTAATAATTAAAATTAAAGTTAATCTGCGTATTTTGAACAAGCATTAGAATCCAGCAACGATAAAACTTCTGAGTTATCAAGAAGAAATAATAATGAAAGAGAGAGGAGGGGAGAGATCATAACATTTTCCATCAGAAAAAATAGAACAACACTGCACACTGATTGTGAGTGTAGTTGAATACAAATCAATTTGCATTTAAATCATTTACTTTAACACTAAAAATATGTAAACCAATTTGCATTCAATTGCCACCAAATGTTGCGCTAATTTTCCTAGTAGAAAATGTGAGAAAATGCTCTTGTAGGGGTTTTTAGCTGCTTTGTTTTTCGTCGCGAAAATGGCTCGTCGCGCCATCGGACGTCACGTGGCCGTACTACCAACCGCTGTAACTTCATCCCCCCTTGAACGTTAAACTCCGCCGGGCTCGCCGGTACATCTCGGCCTGCTCGGCTCGGCTCACAGCGTGACAGCTTAGCTCTCGGCTCTCGGCGGAGCTTGAGGCGCATCGAAGATGGCGACCAGAGGGTAGGGTCGGGCCGGAGACGCACATCGCAAGGCAATCTTTTCCCCCCGACAGAGACAGCCGTGGAGTATCGGGGCGAGCCACCCGCTCGGGTCGAGTCCGGTGAGTAAGCAAGCCACGTTCGCAGAATTGTTTCGGATTGATTGTGAGTATCACGTGTGCGCGCCTCGCACCTGTCGGCGGGTAACTAACTATCGGCGGGCGGCGCGATCGACGAAATCTCGCGCGATCCCCGTCGTGGCTTTTGGTAAGTTCAATGCGCACAGATCAGCACGGATCCATACCACAGCGAGAAACGGGAGCGACGCGCGCGTGTGAGTGCCGCACGCAACGTGACATGACGTGACATCCGTGCGTTCATGTGCGTCACACACGCTTGAAAAGCCTAATCTAAACTAACGGATGAGGAGAAAGATCGGAGGAGGTCATTCGCGTTACTGAATCGTAAGCTAGGTTGAGGAGCAGAGCGGAAAACATCCAAGATCGAACGTAATCGAGCTTTATAATCGGAATAATGAATTTTGAAAAGCCAAACTTTCTGATAATGATAATTCTGTGATTCTGTGATCGTGGAACACTTCCGTAGAGTCTGTTTTATTTTATTCCATGATTACTTCGTGTTACAGTTTGTGTAATGCTAAGGCGAACAATAGAACAACGTTCCTTAATTGCTGTCAAATTATTGTGAGAATATCTTACTACTCACTCTCTTTGTTATATTGAAAAAAAATTACTAAATCTCGATACATATAATTCTTGTGGAATAGTACTGTAAGTAAACATTTATTTACTTACAGCAAATAAATATTTATTCAATGAAAAAAAAAAGATAATTAAGTCAAATTAATAGTCCTTGTATCAAATAATTATATTTACATTTAGTAAGTATTATTTAGAATATTGAAACAAATATTTATTAAAATTTAGTATTTTTTCTTCAATGTATCTGTTTGTAGATTAAATGGTCATTCTATTGTTTAAATAAGTTTTAATATGTTATTAATGTACATGATAAAAAACATTTCATGTTTGCATTGAAAATAGTCTACTCAAATCCTTGTTAAATTTTGTGTTGAATTTTTTAATATATTTGAGTGTTAATTTAATATAATGTGATTGTGAAATTGTTATTTAAATAATTTATTTATTAATATTCGGCCTTTTTTAGTGTCAAAATTACATAATTTATGAATAAGTGAACAAATATCACGAAAATAATTTTGAAGCATAAATTCTAAGATGAATGAAATATGTGTTAATTAAAAAAAATATCATAAATGTTAATTTTACTAAAAAAAATATGCTTTCACAGTTTATTTACAAACTGTCAGTATTATTTTTTTTATGTTTCTTTTTAAATAATATTTATGTTACCTTCTCTAACATATTTTTATCTTATGTTAGTTCGACACACAAATTTTTTTCTAACAATGTATAATTATATTAACGATATATCATTAATTAAATACTAGAATTATCAAAGCAATCAAAATAATTTTTTTAAGAGATATAATAGCGTATGTATAGAATAAGTAACGTAAATAATATATGTTAATTCGTCGATTCTAGTGTTAAATTCCCCGATATTGCAAATTTTCTATTGAACGGAATTCTTTATAATTCAAACTTTCGCGAGAAAACTTGACGTCTTCTCGAGTTGCAATTCCAGCGCGACGCAATTTTGTTAACGAAGCATTGCCAGCGCTTTATATTTCTCATTAGCCGTATTTCTGCTCCTCAGGTTGCTCCACTTTTCGCCGTTGTCGCACGCCTCGCCGTCAGCGATGGTGACAAAAATTGATCGGTGCGGTTAGCAGATCGGGTCACGTAAACGCGCGAGCTTTCAATCGCGCGATGTAAATGCGCCTCCGCGATCAATGCCTCCGCTTCGTGTATAAGGTGTCCCGCCGTCGATCTTGTGAAATTTTAATAGACCTTTAACACATTCGCACGCTCCGCTTCCCCACGGTGAAAACTTTGAAAAAAAATTTATTCTCCAGACACTTAAGGTCTGAAGAATTCTGTCGAACGCGAAAGAATCGTGGATTAAGCTAAAATGAAACAATAACATTGTATTTCAACATAATACTATATTCAGCATAATATTATATATACTTAGAGTCAAATTAAAACTATTCGTAATCATTATTTAATTATTCAAAAATAATTTTTGGAATATCAATAATTTTGATATTCCAGGTAAAACTCTTGTTCATTAAAAAGAGAAATCTTATATCTTTTATTATATTTATCAATATTAATTACAATAGAAATTTTCATAATAACGATAAATAACTAATCATACATCATATGCATTCATATCGTAATTCATAATGCTTACTTTGTTATAACATCTCCCTTTTATTATCTAACATTCGTAAATATTTATTATTAAACGAAGCTGGTATTATCGATGGCTGATATTGCTTCCGCAATTTAATATCGAATAATATGCTGATTGGAATTAGCGAAGAATTTTCTCCGGTATCTTCTAATTTCTTTCAGATCTGGTGGTGGGTTCCTCCGATTTTCCGCTAATTCAAGATTCCGTCGAGGTGCGCAGTGATTAAAACACTAACTCATACATAATCCGCTCGTCCTTCATTTACGATTATCGATACCTAAATAGCGATTAACGCGCATTTAACGTATTCTCATTCACTCGTCAACGTCTAGTCAGAAGAATAGAGGAAAAAAATGAAAGAAAAAAGAGAAATGAATCGGCGAAAAAGGAAACTGTGACGCTCTGATCGAGATAAGGATCGACATATGCGAGAAACCAAATCAAAGTGTGTAAATATAGAAACAAGATAGCTAGGCTGATTCAGAGGGATCTCTCGACGGTCATCTTCCTCATCGTGATGATATCGTATACTAAACTCGTATACTAAAAAAAAAAAAAAAATTCAATTCCGTATACCAAGTTTCCGCCACATTCCAAAGAAAATCGATATACTCGGAGTAATGAAATGCAAAAGCGAAATTGAATTTCAGAAAATCGATTATGAAGCTTTTATCAACATCGAGTAATTAGATAAGATAGATAAGAATCGAGAGACTTGATCGAAGTGCCATTTGAGTATTAGAGATTACGTTGAAGTGCGACAAATTAAATGAAAGCGCGAAACAAATGGCGTAGCTGGCTTTTTGAAAAATAATCGGCAGAAGAAAATGAATTCGAGGATATCGATCGGCGACACGACGGCACTAAAATTGTGACGAGGTAGTCGAGTTCTCTGGTAACATCGATGCAGTGTTGGCCGGACGAGTCAGCGTTTCCAACTCAGCGACCACAGAGAGCGAGGAGATTCTCTTTCGTTGAAAAAGCCTTTCGCGATTTATCATAGTTTTTGCACAAATCGATGGTATGATGGAAAGGAAACGTTTCTATTTTCTATAAATTGTTTAATCGCTGCTCCATTAAGAAATAGAAAATGCATAGTCAAAGAAATGAAGTTCTCAAAGAGAACTTACATTTCGATGTAATGATTTTTTTTCTGACGTTTATTAAATATGCCGATAAATATGATATAATTATAATTGATATTCCATTATTGGAAAAATTAATCGATTGAAGCTAATATTGCTATCAAGTTATACATAGAGAAAACAATAAATCATCTAAAGAAGAATTCTATGGAGATTCAAACGCCACTTACATATTCAAATTAAAACCAAAGAAAAAAAAACGGGATAAGTCGCGAGATACGTTCCAAATTTTCGATTCTATTCGGAGCCCCCGAAATGAATTAGCATTGAAGTAAAGCGACGGTAAGTGTTCTGTTCAGGCAAACAGTAGGGTGAAAAAGGTGAGAAGTCGCAGACGACAAAAAAGAAAGAAGAAAGGAAGGAAGGAAGGAAGGAAGGAAGGAAGGAAAGAAGGAAGGAAGAAAGGAAGGAAGGAAGGAAGGAAGGAAGGAAGGAAAGAAGGAAGAAAGAAAAGAAGGTGATAGTCACGCGGAAGCAAGACTAGAACCCGCCTGGAAGAACGCGGAAGGGCGACAGAATCGAGAGGGTTCAGCTAGCAAGGGTGGAAGAGAGGAAGAGGAGCACCGGTTATCGTCGGGAGGGGTTGCATCGGGGCTGATATCGACCGAGGATTGCGCTTGCGTGGAAAAAGGCGCGAGCGCAATTGTACGGTCGTTCCCAGAGAGCAACGGCGCCCTCCGCGTCGAAAGAGGAAAAGCCCTCCTGTTCCCCGTCGTCAGTCGATCGTCGCGTCGACGAGAACCGGGCTGCTACTACCATCATTCGAGGAAGATTTCCGGTTTCTCCTGACAAAGCCGGCAGAGGCCGGGTGTACAACACGGTGATTCCAACGCCCGCACTGGACCGCACTTCCGGAAGCGAGCTGTCCGGGCACGACCTCGCGGAGAGCTCGACTCCGCTCGGCACCGCGTTGTGAGTTCGTCATCGTCACCGGGGGACGGGGAAAACTCGCAGGCGGTCCGAGGCGGAGGGGGGTGCAGGCGAAGTATATCGGGACGATAAGAGCACGATAAGCGGACCGCGTTTTATAAACGCCTATGCATGTGCGTACCTCTTCTCTCCTCTCCGCCTCTCTTGTTCTCTTGCTCTCTCCGACCTCGTCATGCTGATAAAAGACGAATCTGGAGTTTTCCTCGAGAAAGACCGCGCCGCTACCAGTTCGGATCTGGCAATGCCCCGTGCTGGTCATTAAAACAGTGCGGCTACTCTAGAATAGATATCTAAAACTAGTGGATTTTTTTCAAACTTTTTACTTTGTCATTGATAATGATCGGGGTCACGGTCGTGTCTCACACACCGTATTTGATCACCATGTTTGGAATGTGAAGCGACATCGATGCCTGGCGACTTCATTCGGTTTGATATGGAGATACGTGAATTATATGAATAATAAATTCATGGATTGAATAATTCGCCATTAGTAGAATCTCTTATATTGCATCGAATCTCTTGTATTGCACGTTGTCGAATGTATCTATTGACATGTATCTTCGAGGTAGCAGCATATGCTTACAAGTTTGATCGAAGAAAGTCGCAATGATCAATGTGAGTTATTTTAAAGCGGGCGATCAACACGTACATACAATATGCAGAGATAATCGAAGTCGAGCGTCGAAGTCTCTCGAGGCGTTATCGGAGTTCGGGCTGCCTGAACGCACGGCGCGATGATTAGCATGCAGCAGCAAACGATTTTGAATAATGTAACCGGGCCCGAGCAGCCACAGGAAGAAGTGCAGCTGACGGAATTGCTGCCGGTGAAGCAATCGCGTATCAGAGAAAATGTCTTCAAGGATACCGACGCGACCGACGCTCTGAGGGCACTCAGGAGTCTCTCGGGCGACAGCAGCGATGGCGATAGCTTTAACCTGCGGGAATTCAACTTTTGCAAGAACGAACAATTGGAACGTCGGAGCAGCAAGCATCGACGAATGGAGATTTATAAAAAAACGAAAGAAATCAAGAACAATATTAAAAACGTAGATTTTTATGAAGAGAAAAATAGCGGGGTGGCGGAGAAGAAAGTGCGTAACAATAGCAAGATCGTTCACGTGAAAACGTCGAAAAGGAAACTGACGAGCTCAAGCAAGAAGAAGGATGACGATAAGGAAAGTAATTATGGAATGAATGAGAAATCGATTGGGAAGAATACTACTGAATGCGACGAAGAATTCGAACATCACTGTGATGAAGAAGATGAGGACGAATTGTACTTGGACCTGGAAAAGAAAGACTGTTTTAAAGACGAGATCTACGTGTATAGACGGGAACCATTGGATCCGTGTTCGAGTTTGGAGCCAGAGGAACTAGGTGCGATCAATCATAAGGATTTTTGTGAGGATTATCCCACCACAGATGGAGAACTATTTGATGGAAAAGGAACATTCGTTGAAAAAATCTCTAACATAGATAACGTAGAGAAAGAAAAATTCAAAGCAGATGGCATTACTGAGAAAGACATTCCCGAAAAGGAGCTGAGATTAAAGATCGACGCCATTATTCAAGCGAATTATTTGCTCGAGCGCGAAAATAATAATATTGTGGGTTCCGACGAATCAAAGATCAAAATTGTAGAGCATATTGGCACCTCCTCTGTTGCTGCGGAAACGAAAAAGATGAAGAGGAAGCGAACTGATCATGAGAAGACCAGACAATTGAAGGATCAACAGAATTCTCAGAAGAAATACTGCTGTGTCGTATGCGACGCGCGTTTCAAGGGTAGCGGTGGTTTGCGAAATCACTACAAAGTAGTACACGGTGCTGGACCGGTGTTCAAGTGCGACGAGTGCGGCAAGGAATTTCCACTGAAGGAACGATTGAAACTGCATGTGCGCACACATACTGGCTTCAAACCGTACAAATGCCCGGAGTGCGATAAAAGTTTCGCGCGGGGTGGCCAGCTGGTACAGCACCGTCGCACGCACAGCCAGGTCAGGCCGTTCCACTGTAAGCTGTGCTCCAACACCTTCACGTGCGCGGCCAATCTGTCACTACACTTGAAACGTCACAACGGCCAGAAGGATCACAAATGTGACCTATGCGGACGCGCTTTCGTGCGACGCGATGCCCTGAAGAAACATCTGGAATGCCTGCATCGTGACGTCAAGTCATTCCTCTGCGCTATCTGCAACAAGACCTTTAAGGGCCACCTACCACAACACATGAGGACACATGCGCGCGACCGTCCGCACGGCTGTGCTACGTGTGGCCAACGATTTGCTCAAAAGTCCCAGTTGACTGTGCACCAAAGAACCCATTCTGGCCAGCGGCCATTTCGCTGTCTAGTCTGTTGGCAAGCTTTCGCTCATTCGACCGCTCTGAAGCTGCACACTCGACGTCATACCGGGGAACGGCCGTTTAAGTGTCCCGAATGCAATGCCGGCTTCACTCAACTGCCACATTGGAAGAAGCATATGAAGTGCATACATGGCAGAAGCGATCCATATGGTTGCAAGCGTTGCAAGAGCTTTTTCAGGATTAAAAGCGACCTGGAAAGTCATGAGAAGACTTGTCATCCAGAGATGGAGGTGGAGGACGATGATGGTAGCGTCCCGGCCGGTAAACCGGCTGGCTGCTCCGAGATCGTCGAGAAGAATTCTGTCACTGCGAAATATAAACTGATGACAGTGGAGAAGATGCGGTTGCTGTTGGCAGTGCTGTTGAAGAGGATCAGTAAGCAGGAACGGTTGGATGAGCTCGGCTTCGGTAAACGTCTTATCGACGACGTTCTTCAGGATTCCCTGGTGTCTGCTGGCAAAGAACCGGTCACGAGGAGCGGTTTGTCCGAGCTTGAGGCTCTCACTCGAAACTTAGAAATTTTTTTAGAATGGACAGTACCGAAGGAGCATTGGGAGAATTTCCGTAAGATGAAAAAATCGCCCGAAGATATTCTGGAGACGCTCACAGCTACGTAAACGTTTATCCATTAATAATAATTTTATTATTTTTTGCGTAAAGATTAGAAAACAGTGAGATAAAATCAATAGTATAAAGTCATCTCACATTTTCTACATTCAGTCTCAACTACATCAAAATTTAATTATTTTGTCCGACTTACTCTTTCTTAATATTTTTTTCATCTAACTTTACACGAGACTTTTTATCTATAATTTTTGTTTTTTGTTCTTTTTTTACGTTTATAATTTATAATTTATAATTATAAAAATATTTTAAGGAACGAAATAGAATGTCGGGCATTTGCAACGCGGTCATGACATGATCTCTATTCATTACCTTTAATTATGAAAATTAATGACGATTTTCAAGAGAATTCTATATATATATATATAGTATATATGTGTAGTCATTTCTAATCACATCAATCGAAGATAAATCAAGGTGAAATCGAGGAAGTTTCCGTGTGATATCTGATCTAAAATAATTAACGAATGTTAATTTCTATGGTGCCATGTGTCATAATACTTGCCATATTAAACCAGTGAGTAGACCGTGTGATTTAGAGGAGCTAAGCAAATCCTTTTATTTGATTGTAGCGTAAGATAAATCGCATCGGAGTAGAATATGTATTGTCGAATTTAATTAATGAAAGCCAGGCGTGTTTCTCTCAAACGGAAACAAACTGCCGCGTTTCTTCGGCGACTGAGGTAGAATTAGACATTTTCTTGCCATATTTGTTAAAAACACGCACACACATTGGCGAACGACGGAGAATCAATTTAACACATACATTTTAATTATAAGCACGACTGTTCGTCAATCGTATAGATACCAAAAGAAAACCAGAAATGAGGCTAGCACGAGTCATTTGCAATTATGTTTTTTCATGCGTAATCGTTATATTATCCTATATATTTATAAAGACATCTATATACATATCTATATATATATATATATATACACACACGTACACATTTATAAATTTAATATTATGAGATTTTGTTATATATAAATGTGTTCACGGACGCGTCCGCGGAAAATTGATATTCGACAGTCCTGCGCGACGTTCCCATTGTAGTTGATACTATTATTCGTTATTTATCTCACTTATACATGCACTCGCGCGTAATTGAGGGCTTGATTGGCCGCGGATGAGTAAACATGTTGGCGTGCCATCATTTTAGATAGTCATAGTAAATGTGAGCAGACAATAATGAATGAAAGTTACAAGTTTAGTATATATTAGTCATTGAAGAGAAGAAAGATATATATTATATCCATATACACACACATACATATATATATATATATACTTATATACATATATATTGGTATTAGATGAATATATGCTATGAAGCCGCGAGAGGAGAGGAACATATTATCTTTTTTTTAATTGATTCTAAAAATGCTAAATTCCAAAAAAATAATAGCAAATTTATTTTATCTCGATAAACGAAAGTCGAATTTTACAGTAATATAAATTTACTATAATGTTAGATCGATGCAAATAATTCTTTTTATAGACGAAGACGTTTTTGCTAGCGCATAAAATCAAAATTGACTTGGTATTCTTATACGCAAAGTTCCTTTCCTCGACGTATGAGGATATTTCTCAATCGTGCGTTTGGATAAAAATAGTAAAAAAATATTGCAATCGGAGGTGCTATTTTGTGCGATATAATCGTTTGCAATACTGAAGCTGTTGCTTGAAAAGAAATTTGTTTTCTGAGCTTTCTTTCCGACACGCAAGAATAATCCAAAGACTTTGTTCCTTTCATTGCCAAATATCATATTGTATGTATCGTTACGTTTTATATAATTTTATTATTGTAAGCACCGAGATATATTTTGCGCCTGTAAAACAAGAGAAAAGTAAAGGAGCGATGAGTAACGTGTGACGCACCTTAATGTATTAACATGAGCCCGAATGTATTGGCGTACGCAGTGACTTAGCATTTTCAAATTTATTCGAAAGATCGAAATCTATACTTCGGTTGTGGATGCAAATGCGGGTCGGAGTGCACTTTATATATAGATCGAGGTCGGAGAAGAGCCATTTCGAATGGTCGACAGGAAGCGTAGCTTCTTACAACGAAATCCACTAACTCGATGATTTTGAGTTATGATGCCAAATCAAATAAATAGCTCTCTCGAGAATGATGATCTTGTGTCTTTCGCGAATTTTTTTTTGCGTAAGATCACGGAAATTAAATATTCGAATCACATTTTCTTTTCAACATCGATGAAATCGGAATGCTACTTATTTTGTTTTTCTTTAGTGCCATAAACTAAACATAGTCATATTTGTACATTAATATAATGTGCGATGTGTGAGAGAAGACAATTTGAATAAACACGTTTCTTTATTTGCTAGTTTCCTTTCTTCGTTAACATCATTTTCCTTTTCATTTTCATGAATAGAGATTAATAATGCGTTCCAATACGCATCATTCCATACATATATATATATATATATGTAAATATTTGTATAAACAATGATTTAAATTGCTTTATTTTTTCACATGCTATTTGTATAATTGCATAAGAAAAATATATCAATCTAAAGTAAGATATCTATAAAAAAAAATACATGTAGCATTTATCACTTAAATTAAGTCATGAGATTCACATACCGCGATAGAAAATTTACGTATAATTAATATTGAAAATAGATTCTTCAAATATCCAGTTAAATATAAATGGTTGTCTCATATCTACTTGCAAACCAGTAATATGTAAGCTCTGAAATAATTTTTATAAATTTTTAAAAATTCACTTTTTAATTATGCCGTTTTACTTTCATTGTTATTCAAGTATTCATCATTATTTAATGAAACACTTACCGATGTGGAAAGATTAAATGAAAAGCCTATCTCATTGCTATTTAGGAATACTGTGATGACTGGTCGTAATCCAAAAATCTGTACTGTTCCCAATATTACCTCTTCGTTAAAAGAACTTTTATCCATTTCCATATTCAATAAACTTGATTGATTTGCAATGAAAGACAGCCACAAATATTCTTTCTTTTTTATGGAATCTATACATTAAAAATAATTAACAGTCAAGATATAATTTAATACACAATCATTTAATACAAGATATGTTTTACCTAAGCTATCACCATCGTCCCAATACAATTCTCCTATAGCATTTTTAGTTTCATTCAATGTTACTATTAATTCAAAATTGTTTTTTCTGCTTTCTGTCGTTGTTACACCCGGATCTTGTGCTGGAAGAATCGAACCTGCACGAATCAATAATGGTATTTTGTCAATCGGTGCAGGGAAGGTATAATATTTTCCGATGGAGAAATAGGAATTGAAGGTATAATAATCATACCACAAACCACGTGGTACATAAACAGTTACCGCAATTTTGTTCTGCAAAACATAAATCAAAGCGATTAACTAAATATCAGCATTTCATATTATGTAAATAATAAAATAAATTGATGACATACCTCTTCGAGAACTGGATTGATCATAAGCGAATTTCCCCAAAGAAATTGTTTATCAATATCGTAAGTTCGCCGATCTTCGATAAATCTATTAACATTCATTATGTATATATGTATACATATATAAAATATTATTCACAATATAGATACGACACAAAGTATCGATACGTACTCAAAGAAAAGTGGCCGTACCACGGTTTCCCCAAATTTATGTGCTCTGAAGAATAAGGTGTACAAATATGGTAAAAATCGATAACGTATTTTGAGAGAATTTTTTGATGATTGTACGACCAAATCGCCCATAGCAACTGGATCTTGCTCCTATGTACATATATATTAATATATTTATATATTATATTGAGAATACTTCAAATTCAATAATTATTATTGAAATTATATATCGATGCGTCGGTACTTACAATTGTATTATCGGAATTATGATTTCGAGAAAATGGATAAAAAGCACCAAGTTGCATCCAACGATTGCACAATGCAGTAGTTGTGTTTCCATTAAAACCGCAAATATCTGCGCCCACCATTGGAACTTGATAAAAATTGAATGACAAAATAGCTGGAATACTCATCTTTAAATCATGCCTGATAAAATGATTTTTTAATTAGTTACATAACGAAAATGATGAGATGTACATTAAGATGGATTTTAATTACCATGATGAATAAACGTCACCCGTCCAATGACCCGCATAATGACCATGTCCTATCCATGTCGAACGCGATATTATAAATGGTCTCTTTAATCTAATTTTCCTAAGAGCACTGCACATAGTTTGAAATAGGATAAATTCTTAAAACAATCATAATTTGCTTGTTATTCAAATTATAATATAAAAATATATAAAGAAAAACCGATCAAAGACGAGCTAATAAATTAGGATGTTATAGCAATTAAATTTAATGTTTAAATTTAACATTAAATTTAATGTTTAATTTAACATTAAAATAAGCGAAACTAGTTTTAACTTTACAAATCTTCATTAATCGCATAAAGTTTACATTACAAATTAATTAAAATATAAATGATCAAAAATCAAAAAAAGTAAAAAGTCATGAAAAATTATAATAATTATATCCAATATAAATACAGTCAATCCATAATCTCGCAAGCACACGACGGATTATTGCGTTCTCAACCGTTGTTAGTATTAGAAGTAAAAAATTTTTATCAATCTTATTTCATAATTAATTGGTCACAATTTATATATGATTGTTCGTCATTCGTTTTTCAACTATTGACAATATCTGAAATTGTACCATAGTGGAAATTGTACCATAGCTTATCTCATTTGTTGAAATCGTGTTAATTAATCAAAAAATTGATTAAAGATTGAAATTTTAACTGATCAAAAGATATCAAAAGAGCAATCAAGTTTTGTTCGTAACTGAGACTATAGATTGATTGTATCTATACTAAATGTAATTAATATAATTTTCCGAGACTTTTTATTCTTTCTGCTTATCTATATTTTAATTAATTTGTAACGTTAACTTTACACAACTGATAAAGACTCCATAAAATTGTAACTAGTTTCGCTTATTTTAATGTATATTAAATATTAAATTTAATTGATATTATACAGGGTATCTCAAAAATAGGTGACCAAATTTTAGTATCATATTCTACAGTCCCTAAGAATGAAAAAAAATCATAGGTCTGGAAACTCTTTCTTCTTGAAATATAAACACTTTTTGTTTATCTCAAAAATTTATATGGATAGATATCACATGAATATTATGGTAGAGTAAGTGATACTGTCATGAAGGCAACTTATCGTAGTAAATTAGTTTCTAAACGTTGCATAGTTAAGATAGTGTTATCAAGATGATTTATTCCAATATCGAGTGAAAATTTCATGTAGGAACGAAGTAACGAAAACTGCAGAAAAGCTCAGTGTATTCTGTAAAATTTCAGCAAAGATGATGACCTATAAAGAATATATTTAGTTTTTTCAAGTAAGTTACAAATCTTTAAAGTTATCTCCCAAACATAGTGTTTTTATCTTAAAAAGAAAGAATTTCCGGGCCTATGTTTATACTGACCTATATTTATACTGTTTTTCGTCCTTAAGCCCCAGACACAATGCGAAGGAATAGCGATAGCGATAGAAATAACACTATTTCAACCTATCAAAAACGGTATATTTCAGGATATCTGATTTCTGATAGGTTGAAATCGTGTGAATTATTTCTAACGTTATCGCTATTCCTTCGCATTGTGTCTGGGACTTTAGGAACACTAGAACATGATATCATCAAAGTTTGGTCACCTATTTCTGGGATACTTTGTATAAACATCCTAATTTATGAGCACGTCTTTGTGTGTGTGTGTGTGTGTGTGTGTGCGTGCGTGTGTGTGTGTGTGTGTGTGTGTGTGTGTGTGATCGGTTTTTTCTTTATATATTTTTATATTATAAATCTTAAATTCTCTATAAAAGTTGAAAGATTATAGATTAGTTTTTTTACTTACTAATTTGTGGTAATCGCTTGGCTCATTCCATAAGTATTGTGAAGATTATAATGAGTGCCCAAATAATGTTTCGCATTCATGCAAAGAGTTTTTGTAGCGAGTAAACCGCCAACAACATTGGGAATATATTCGGGATAATCTAAATTATTATGTGTACAACCATTCTTATTACCATTATAAAAATTGGATGGTTCGTTCATATCCTTGATGATTGAAAAATTTGAAGTAATTTAAAATTAACTCAATAATATTGAGGTAATTTTTAACAATCGATACTTACAATCCATGTACCATCGTACGCAAAATTATTATGCATATCGGTCATCATATTTGTATAATAGATCATAGTTTTAGGATTTGTGAAATCGGGCCATACTGTAGAAAAAAGATTCCAAACTTTACCGATGAAAGGTTTGTCGGATTCACCGTCTTTTATAAATATGTCTTGTTTTATTCCTTCGTCGTAAGGCAGATAAGAACCGTTATCTTCGGAAGCAGATATGCCGGCATCAATTAAAGGTATATAATGCATTCCTGCCTAAAATAGAAAACAATTGCTGTAATGTATATTGACTTCGATCGATTGATAATCTTTTATATAAGTCTATTATACCGAGTGAATTTCTTCTACAAACTTAGGTAAATCTTTAAATTTCTCTTTATTATATGTAAAATCATTATTTTTATCCATATAATCCAGATCATTCCATTGAGTATCCTATAAACACAATATAATTCATGATAATGTTTAGCTTATATTTTGAAACGTTTTAAAAAGTTATAAAAGTAGACATTACAAATGGGATTCCAGCTGTTCTCGTTCTGCTCCATACTGCTTTAGTATTTTCTAGTGATTCATACCCATATCTAATCGATGTACAAAATGTTAATGTAAAATTGCATGTTGAAAATATTATTTTATACTGATATAATACCTGCATAAATGAAAACCGAGCGACCAATAGGGTGGCATAAATGGTTTGCCTACAATTTCAGAATATTGTTTCACTACATCGGCTGGAGTCGGTCCCAGGAAAAAGTAAATATCAAAAATACCACCGATTGTTCTAAACGTTATAGCCGGTGTAGGCTGTAGTATCACATCTAAAATGAATCACATGAAATTATTTGGAAAAGAAAATTATATATCATACATTTGTTTTAGAAAAAGTAAAAAGCGTACCCATAGCATTACTGTTTAAAAATAAAACTCCATGAGCCATTCCAGATTCCTCCATAATAATATAAAATGGATGAGATCCATACAGATTTGCCTAATTAGATAAAGAGAAAAGATATTATTTGCAATATGCATAATAATCCATTTGTCATGATTCATTTGCGTATAATAAAATTGAGCAACGTACGTTTTCCATTGGTGGTTGATCTTTATTAAATAGAGTGAATATTTGCCAATTAATATTTAATTTTAAGCTCGATTGATGCCCGCCAATGCCATAAATATTACTTGTTGGTAACAATGAGCTTATTTGTAGAAACTGGTCAGCAAATATGAAACCTCCAATCCCAATGGAATTGAATCTGCATACAGAGTATATTAGAAAAGTAATTTAAATAATTTTCATAACTTTGTTTAGCAATCAAAATTAAAAAACTTAATTTTTACGCTTCCATTAAAACCTTACCCATTAAACATCAACTAACAATAATATGATATCAATGTTATAATTTTATATTCAATATAACTATTACATACAACATATCACATTATACTTATATTGTTAAGTGTGAAATTATAATATTGATATCGTATGATTGGTAATTAATGCTTTTACTAAATATAATATTCTGAATACAACAAAGTAATTTATACTTACAATGTTGTGCCATCACTGATTCTATTGACTTTAAAACCAGGTTTTATATCATCGCTATTAAATTGATATTTTGTGTCAACAACTTGATATAAAAATGGCTTCGGATCCGATCTGATTGGCCATGGTGGTTCATATCGCATTTTAAAAGGATCATATATCTAAAAATTGTATGTTATTCTTTTTTTATAGTACTGTATGAAACTTAAGTTAGTGACACACGATGCTTGTTTTCCTGTTGGTTTGCTAGCTGGAAAACGAACATCGTCCATCGTGTGTCCATCTGTCCATGTGTGTCCCAAACTTTGTGTGTCGCAGACTTTAAATATTCTGTAAATATTATACCTTCACACGCAGAATTGAGCTGTTTATGCCTGTGGCTTCTATCTTGACAAGAGGCACATTGTTCTTGTACACAGATTTTTTTTCTTGACTGAGAAAACCCAAGAAATTATTTCCATCCTGACTGCGGTTAATATATTTATACAGATTCCATCCATCGGGATAGTAACAGTAAGGAATATATAACAATATATCCTTTTCATTTTTGTTATTTTCACGAGGATTCCAACAACATCCTCTATTTATGCAAGAAAGTTGCGATGCTCCATCCTCTGGATGACAATCAAAGCGTAATATTTCAGGAACGTTGCTGCACTGCTTTAAATATGTGCATATAATATAATAACGCAATAAATACAAATATAAATGACATAATATGTTGTTTTTCTTAATAAAGACTATAATGAGATTTTTGCTTACTTGAGCATTGTTAAATGCTGTATTTTCTTCCTTCAAAGGCACTATTTTACGATCATATGTTTCTTGTTCGATGTATATATCAGGAGTATCCACTAATATATGCTGATATCTTGTCTCCTCAATGGTATCGTTATTTATATCAATCATAAATTCCACTTCTGCATTGTAACTATTTATAGTACGTAACGGATTTATAATCGCGTATAATAATGGAAGACCAAGATGAAACAACAATAAAGCCGTGATGAGACCCAAGAATAATGTCATTATCGTACGTTTTACATTATGACGTTTATCAAGATTCGACTCTTCTTTTTCGTGTTTTTTTATTGATGGCTCATAGAATTTATTGTTTAATGTTTTAACTACAATGGTATTAAATTTCTCCATAATTTTGTTTGGACGTTCTTTAGTTGCACTGTAATATCTTGATTTTTCAGAAACATCCTGTCTATTTATTTCTACATTAGCCATTCTTCAAGTTCTTGACTTGACTTCAAAATTCTATTACTACAAATAACTCGTTAACAAGTTGTCTGAAAGCGATAAGAATTATTAAACAATTTACACGTCAATATACTTGTATTCAATCATTACTGTCGGAACAAAATAATAATTCTTTCTTTAACCAAGTCTAAAATTAAATGGATATAAATATATGTATTTAAATGAGTATTTTTAAATGGACTGCTTTTGAGCAAACTGTAATTTTTTTCGTCTTACTGATAATGTTATCGTCCTAATGCATGTATTTCTACACGAAAAATATATTGCGTTTTATACTACACATTTTAATATATTCCTCATAGATATATTCAGATTGATGTAACCTGCAAATAATCAGAATTATATTTATTCGTTGCACAAATACGCACTAGACTTCTGAAAATAATATTTTGTACTGCATATATCACAAAGAACTTACAGTATTATTTTTGAGCACAGAATCTCGCGCCCGGTTCTGAATCAGTCACCGCACTTCGTCGATATCACTGGCTGCTATGCATAATGAACATCTGATCTTGCCTCGTGTGTATTGGATCTTATGTATTTCCACGCAACGTGTGCATCAGACATGTATCATATGTTATCTTTGTTTAGACCATCGAACGTAATGTAAGATATGGGATATTTTCCAGGAAGAGATTATCGATGTAGAGAAAAATTATTCTATCTTCATTCGTATAGAATTAAAACAAAAATAAAAAATTCTTATTAATAATCCATGGTGGAAGAACCATAGATGTATCAATAATAATAAATCGATCTTTTTATATCTTTAATACAATACAACCTTTACAATTTACATTATATTATCTTTATATTATATTTACATTATATGATTATACTTTTACATTATATTACAATATTCTAATATCGAAGATATATATATAAGAAAATAAAATAGAAAACATTGTTGTAAAAATTACAGGCAAATTTGTAATCTTTCTATTGTTACCGTTATTCGCTTATCAAACATTCAAGAAAACGGTCATTAAGTAAAGTTACCTTTAAGCTGACAATGAGTCGGAATTCATCCGATACATTATTATAGCGTTTTAAAAATTTCTTGTACTTTTATCAAAAATACTTATATCATTATATGTTGCTCATATCTTTTTAAAGTAATATAATAAAGCAAATAGATGGAAAATTTTGTATTATTACATCTTCGAACCTATAAATCACATTGATTAAAGTAGCAAAGTATGAAGTTTTAAAATGAAAAGTTACATTAACACAAAATGAAACTTTATAATAGATTTAATCAGCAAAACAAGCGAATATACAAATAAATTTTTATACAAAAGATTTTGCGTTATTACTGGGAATTATTGAGACAATTCTCTTTTTCTTCTTCACACTTTCGAACAATATCTGGAAACAAAAATATTTTGTTGTAATTTCCATGAAAAATCAAATTTTCTTCTAAAATATATTAAAATCTTACTCTTGCAAATTTCGTTTAAAACACTAACGGTTGGCGAATCTGGCATTTCCGTTAGAAAATTTTTACCCTCGTCGCAACATCTAGTTAGCAACGGATCTAAAGGTATCGAGCCTAAGAACTCTACATTTAATTCATTCGACATTGTTCGTGCTCCACCTGACAAAGCTGGGAATATTTCTGCGGTATTCTGTGTACAAAGATATTTCATTAATCATATCCTTCCATTTTATTTTTTTTATTCTATTCGCATTGTCTTTACTTTGCATTTAGGACATATGAAGATACTCATGTTCTCAATCACACCCAAGATTGGAATATTCACTTTTCTACAAAAGTCTATTTCTTTCCTGACATCCAAGAGAGCAACTTGTGGAGGTGTCGTGACTATTATGGCACCTGTTATGCCGGCACCTTTTAGATACGACGTAGCTGACAAATGTTCATCTGATGTGCCAGGCGGTGTATCCAGAATGAGATAATCTAAGCTACCCCAATCAACTTCTGACAGAAACTGCCTAATCATACCTGAAGATAAATCTATTTGTGTAGATAAATCTATTTACAACGAAAATCATATAGCTTAATATAATAAGAATTATAAAAGATGAAATCTTAAAAGTGTTGATACCATTCTTCTTTGGTCCTCTCCAAATAACTGCATCACTTGGACTGCTGAGCAAAAAACCAATCGACATTAGTGATAAATTATCCTCGATATACTAAAACAAAATAATATACAGTGTTATATAATAGGTTTTTTAGTGATATAATAATTCTGCTTCAGTTTGAGTTTACTTACTACAGGTGACCATCCTGATCCACTTTGATGAATTTGTTCACCAAGTGCTCCCAGTACCCTTGGCTGCGATGGTCCACAAATGTCAATATCCAGTACTCCCACCTAAATAAGATACACAAACAAGATTTGAAATGTCTCTCTAATAAAATTTATTATTATTTTCCAATATATATCATAAAGATTAATTAAATTATATTTGGTATTATGATATTTATATCAAAAATATAAATACAGATACAATTTAATTATATTGAATCTGTATTTATATCTCTGAAATACTGACTAAAATACTGACTTGAAATAACTAATAATAAAAATGAGAATACTAAAAGTCTGATAATCAATAAGGAACTGGCACTGGCTGATACGACATATATAGCCATTAGTCAACTATAGATATTCTCTGTCTGAGGTTATTTCCTACAAGGTAGCTGCTAGGCATTCACTATGTCAACATGTACATTGAAAATCATATGGATGTACTTGGAATGGGCAAAAGAGTGAGTTATTATATTAACTTGCTTTTTAACTTTATATAAATGTGAGGTTATTTATGTGACAGTAAAATATATGGTATCTATGTTAGCATGGCATAATATAGAATATACATAGAATATATATATATATATATATAAGACACAAAAGCTAAAGCAATCGAGTATTTGTTCTAAACAACACATTATCACACAATATTTTCGTTTTCAGTTATGATTAGTTATATGCTTACATTTCTGTCAGAATTATTTGCTGCAAGACATCTGGATAGTAATGATGTCACAGTACTTTTGCCTACTCCTCCTTTGCCTGAAAGCACTAACAGCTTATTCCGCACTGAAGTAAGTCTTTCTTTCACAAGCGCAATACCAGGATCTGGCTGCTTGGTAGCTCCGGAAGAACATAGCGATTGATTCGGGCATCCCGCACAAGCTGATGCTTTGCCAGCACTCTCACTCTGGGTTCCAGGACAATCTAAAATAATAAATAAAATAATTTCATAAGTTTTT